GGAAGTGCAGATTTTTCATCGGATCCTGAACCCCAGGTGCCCGCTGCCCTCCCTCCCCTCCCCTCAAGGAAATCCACCAGGTCCGGACCGCTGAGACGTTGCCAAGTGGACGAGCCGGACCAAACAGGATGAGTGCAACAAACTCGAAGGAACGCGCTCAGGCGCATGCACCTAGCATCCTGATCAGAAGTGTGCCGCCCCACACCTCGATGGCTCGATGCCCGATTTGTTTCTTGAGAAAGAAGTGACCTTTGCGACCGTAGGTGTCCTTTTTGGTGGTTTTGCTCGAAAAGATGGCGATCCCTGGTATTTACCTGGTGGTTTTTCTCATCTACCAGGGAAACCCACCTATTTCCCCTAAAAGAACACCGATGTTTGCGACTTTCTCTTAAAAGCAACGTTGCCAGTTAAGGCGAGGATGGATCACGAAACCGGGCCGAGGGGCGCGTCACGCCTTGAGTTGGTAGCAGAGACGCAGGACCCCGAGCAAAGAGGATCACAGCGGAAGTCAAGGTAGGTGTGTGTGTGTGTGTGTGTTTTAGTATTATTATTTTTTTAATTGTTTTTCTGTGGCAATGGTGGCTTGGTTTGCCGTTTGGAAGTTTTAGTTGGTTGCTGGCCGCAACTCCAAGCCACCATTGAGTGTTGTCTAAAGGACATGCAAAGGACACCCGCTTGGGTTTCGAATCCCCTGCAAACCCCCACTTCCGTGTGTCAAAATAGGGGGGCCACAGATCGTGGTGTTCCTTTCGGTTCGCCTTTGTGAACCAACCTGCAAAAGGGGACCTTACTCCCTGAATCAATGGCCGGAGTTTAGTCACTTTTTGGGAAGACCATGTTGGTGGCAAACAAACAGTTTGTGTTTTTTTGTTTGCCAATCCGCTTAGAAAGTGAGGTACCTCAGCCAATTGGTGGTTTGGATTGGTGGTTTGGGGATTTAAACCCCTGGTTCTTGTAAAGGGTACAGGGACACCTCTCCTTACCCACACCAGCGTTTCGGCTCCAAACCACTTAGGAGGAAGCTGAGTACCCTGAAAAGACACCAACAAGTCAACCCCAATCAACCAACAAACCCACCGACCGACCCACCGACCCACCGACCCACAGACCGACCGACCGACCCACCGACGGACCAGCCAGCCACCCCCACTTTAAATGTCCCTTCGTGGTGATCGTTGAGCGCCAGGGTTTGATCCCAAGACTCGGCGTGGCGGTAGATGATACCTCTTGCACAGGCTTGGCTTGCGGGGGTCGGGGCGAGCCCCTGGGCTATGAGTTGGGTCTGAGTTGTCCCTTTTTGTTGGCGAAGAACTCTGTTAGGGGTCATGACCCCACTTGTGCTGGCCAAAAAGAGGCAGAATGTCGACCCCCCCCAAAATCAACCAACCAGTTTATTAACAAGGGGTCTCCCTCCAAAAGTCGCAAAAGCAATGATTCCACACCAAACCCAGGGACACCCCCTATTAACAATAAGGGGCCAACATTAAGAGGTGGTCGTGCCGAGAATCCCAAAAGCGGCAGGGAAACGCCCTGAAGCCGAATCTCCGGTTCGAACCTTCCCTGAAAACTGAACGCTGCTCCGAACCACCCCTTACCGCCTATTTTCAGGCAAGCCTTTAAGGATTGGTGGTTTGAATTCGTTAGAGGATTAAAACCGGCATTTGTAGAGGCTGGGATTTTCCCTCCTCCAAGCTGCCGGGCTCCAAAGCACCAAGAGGGAAGCTGAGAATTTTGGCAGACACCCCGTGCCTCCTGCGAGTTGCTTTGGATTGGTGGTTAGGGGATTGGAACTTTTGGCATAGCCAGACCGCTGGGCTCCAAACCGATCCAAGTGAAGCTTCCAGTGCTCGAACCACATGGAGCGGCCGGGGATCGATTGGCCAGCAGCTTTTTTGATGGGTGCCCATGGGAGCTGAGTTCTTGGGGGGTTTTTGTAGGCCACCCGGTGCAACTTAGCCTTTTGATTCACCTTTTCGCCGATCTGAAAAAGGGCAGCCCAGAATTGAAGTGACAAGCATCACAAGGTGTTGTTTGATGTTTGGGGGGTTGGGCGGGGGGGGGGCACAGCTCTGTTCTAACTATGTAGGCGTGGATAGTCAAAAGAGCTTCACATGTTTTTACAGGTCTCTTCTTCAAGTCAGTCAAGCTCATGATTTCAGTGTTATATATATATATGTGTTCCAGTCCCCAGGCCACCAACCAGCAACCCCCCCAAGGACCCAAGAATAGCCCCGAGCCCACACCCCGCTGCGACGGTCCCCAGACCCCCTCCTCAAGCCCTTGAACTCGCACCCGACACGTAGGACAACTCAACCCACAACCAACCCCAAACCCCAACCATAAACCAATCCTACACCCCTAACACTTCACCCTAACCCTAAACAAACCCTAAGTCAACCTTAGACCAACCCTTAATTGTATACTTACGGAACACTTTAATGTGAATTGGAATGTTGATTCAGCTTGTTGTACAAATCATACGACTCAAGTAAACGTGAACCATTAAACACGCAGTCAGATGTTACTAGTGACAATCATATTTTATTAAACAATCAAGATTATTGAACATAGCGATGAATATATTTATGGTCCAACTGATTGTTTATTGGTGACAAGCAGTCGTCAGCAGCATTCTATTCGTTTGGATTTTTGTCATTTTGGTCAGCATGTATCGCCTGTGGCAAAGATAGAATACTATTCAACATTGGTTGCACATTTTGCGGTGTTGGTTCTCTTGTATTTTTCAATGAATCGGACGATTGAAACGTTAAAATATATACAAAAACATTAAACAATGATCAACCATTTCAACTTGATTTTAATTTTGGTAAACTTAGAAGCAAACATGAGAAAGAAACATACAGTCAAAGTCAAAGTCAAAGTGTCAGTGATGATGATGAACGTAAAAATGAACATGAACATGAATTTGAAAGAAACTGCAATACTATAATGTTTATAATTAAAAAGTCGCTTATTGCAGATAGTTAATTAAATTGGTGGGTTTTTAATTGTCTCTTGGAATATTGGTTTGATCAAAAAGGATCACATAAGCCAACCCAACACCCAACCTAAACCCAACTGTAAACCAACCCTTAACCAACCCTAAACTAACCCTATACCCACCCTAAACCAACCCTAAACCAACCCTAAACCAAACCTAAATCAGCCCTAAGCCAACCCTAAACCCCCCAAAGGCCTGGAACATATATAGATATATGTATATGGGCATGTCAAGTGGTTTTCTGGCGATCTGTGTGGTTGGGACTTGTTTTGGCGCGCCAGCGCCTGGCAGAAGTTGGGAATCCGAGAACCCTGAGGCCTTGGCGGGTAAAAGGCCATTCTCGACGTGTAGAGTGAGGGATTCATGACAACATGGGTTTCCCGGTGGTTCCCAGCCAGCCCCTTAGGTTTTGAGCTTCTTTGCTTTTAGTGGTAGCTTTCACTAAACCGCTAAAAGTTAGACTTCTAGCGGGGGATCTGAGGACAGCCCAGGTTTGTCTCAAGATAGGGGACCCCGCCAAAGTGGCAACGGTTTCCCCGTTGTCTTCCCTTAAAAGAAGCTAAGCAAAAGAGGGGTAACCTATCCCAAACACGTTTAGCTTCTAGTAAGTAGCGGATCAACAAACCAGATCGTTCTGATCAGTCATGAACACTCGACCAAGGATGATTGTGTCTTCGCTTGGCTTGCTGGGCTTGCCACATTTGTGGCTCACATTGCCGCGGTTTTTTGGCTAGGTCTCACACACACACAATGGGATTGGGAACTCATCATATGGGAGTTGTACTTTTTCTGGGCCAAGCTGCAAACTGTGTCTTGCTACCATCGCCATGAGAGGAGTACCGAGAAATTGCACGGCCAAAGGGTTTGCTTGCTAGCAGCATAGCATCGATTCTCCGCATTTGGCAGCACATGCCCAACACAGCGATCACGAATGCAGTCGTGTCAGCCAAGCGTTTATCAAGATACCTGGGCAGCTGGGTCTATCCCCAAACTCGGCAGGAGGCGCCCTCCGTCGAGCGGGTGTGGCTCAAAAAGAAACAGCTGGGGCAAGACGCAGGTTTTGGCCTACCTTGCCATTTGCCAGGGTTCCATTTTGGACTATTCTTGAGCCACACCCAAGTGTCAGTCCTGCCTTCGACCCGCTTTTGCGCCGGAAGCGCCGCATGGCGCCAATGGCGCCTGAGGGGGAGGCGGCGGTCGAAGGGCTCTTGCCCTTCTCGCCCTGGCTCTGTTTGGCTGCGCCGCACCTCAGCAGTGGTCAGGCCAAGGCGCGGAACGCCGCCGAACGTCGAAAGCCGGGAGGAAAGGTTCGGTCTGGAAGCTATGGGGTCAGTCTGCCCAGAAGTTGGCTCGCTCGAGATGATTTGGGGCAGCTTTCAGGGAGGGGTTCAAAGGAGATTCGGTTCCGGGTTCCTTTGGGGCTGTTGGGTCCCGATACCACCTGATATCACCTGGGTCAGTATTTTGACAAAAAGCGTGCCCGGTTTTCCTAGCAGAACCCGCCACCGTGACACCTCCAACTCGCTTTCCAGAACGGATAGCCCCCCCAAACCATCGAATCCAACTGCTGGCTTCGAGAAATCCCCAACTTCTGGGGTATTCTGGCTGTGTGGGGTGCTGTTTTTGGACGTTTTTGCATATTCTGCTTTAGCTCGGAGTGCTGCAGAGAGCACAGTCTTAAATTTTGATTCGCCCGGCCGCTGGGTTGCTGTTCAAACACACATTCTCGTCAGGGCAACCAGGAGGTTGTTTGAACATACTCTCAACTGAGGCCTAACACCTTCAAATGTGAGTTTTGTTTTGTTTGAGTCTCGGTACCCAGTTTTAAGGTGTTGCGTTTTTAACGGGAAGCCGACCGGACAGCCGATTTTTCCACTTTGTGGGTACCCCCCGTTTCGACGTCCCCAAAGTCGGGTGTCAAAACAAACCTGGCGCTTTCCATACTTCATGATATATAAGTGGCGTGACCCAATCGACAATGGTTGTCACCAACTGGGTCATGCCGGTGTTAGTCAGCATGTTTACTTTCAACTTCACGGTCGGTGTCAAGCAGACGTTCCCGTTACCAACCGCAAAACACTTGCTGGTTCTCAGCAGGGAATGAGACATGGAATGACCCGAAAGAAACCATCCATGGTTCATTCCCAGAATTCGGGTCACTTCCCCTATCGCACCAGCAAGAACAGTGAGTATGTTGTTTGGGGGAAGATTGGCCCAGGGCCCAAGGGCTGGTTCAAGGGACCGGCCCAAGGGGCTAAGGGACTGGTCCAAGGGCCTGGTTCGTCAGGTGGCGCCCTATGGGGTGCTTCACCTCTTCATCGACCGCGCCAGCGGGCTGCCGGCCGCGGATGTGACGGGGTTCTCGGACCCCTACGTGACGGCGCAAGTCGACGACAAGGAGCCCAGCGACGGGATGTGGAGCCAACTGGGTATGTGTCAAAAATCAAACCACGGTTTTGGTTGCCAGGGTTCCATATTGGGAACCTAATATTGACCCACAACCAACAAGTTCGTGGTCGTTCGGCACCATCTTCCATCTTTTCCCTTGGCTACTATCATGAACAATAATGATGTATTCTACTCTTAGTCTTAGGGTTGGGTAATGCTTACGTTCGTGTGTCTTTTTTTGACGGTGTCCAACTTGTATGTATAACGCTTCTTGGAACCTGGAAGAATGCTAGAGATTGTGGAACGGTATGTTCTCCGATTCGGAGATGGTAATGGCAACCCAGTTGATCAGTAAACCTTTGGTTGACTAATACGGGGGTGTCTCATGTAACAGGGCGGTATTCTCTCTTGACTCTTGTTGGCAAATCAGCAACCCTTTTCCATGAGCAAGAACAGAATGGTATTCTCTCAGAGGGTGTCGAAATGATGGACCCTTTTGAACCCCCCCCCCTCCGAAGGAAACAAAAAGCAGGGGGCACAACAGCAGGGGTTCGTCCTTATTTTTTGACGACCAAATGTCATGTCATCAGGGCAAGTTACAACTATAAAAGAAGCTTAGCCATGAAGATCCCTCAGTTGAATTGCCCCAGATGGATTCGACGGCGAAGCCTTGAAAGGTTTGAGCCAAGACCCAGGGAACGACTACCCTCCTGGTCAGGGAGTCAATTATCACGATGACATTTATGGCCCAGAGGTACAACAACTTGCATGATGTACATTCCAGTCAATGCCCAAGCATGACACGATCATTGCTTTGGCTCAAGGCTCAAGTGCTGAAAAGAGCGCGTTGCTCGCGCTACCCACAAGGTTAAGGGAGAGGTCGCAGTCACGGAGGGGTTCGTTCCTTTTAAGGTCCCGGGTTCCCCCGTTGTTGACAAAACTGTGTTTCCCTCTCCTTTGAGTGGTTATCAGCCGTAACGCTTTTCGGGTAAACAAACCCCTCCGTGACTGCGACCTTTTGGTCGCACATGGAAGCCGGCCCTCACCGCGGCACTCGCGGTGGGAAAGGGCCGCGTGCCCGTCTATTCAACACTCTGCAACAGATCGTCGTTGACGAGTACAAACGGCAGGACAGGCGATTCCGGTGGATCAGGTTTGCAGACGCCTCGAAGCAACAGATCGAGGCGCTCTTCTCCTGGCGTGAGTCATTGGATAGTTGGCACCTGTGGGATTTTGACCAAGAGGCCTTCGAAGTGATCCAGGCCGCGGACAACGCTTATCAGCAGCGTCTCGCATTGGTTGAAACCGCAGGTGTGGTCTTGCCGCAAGGTGTGCAATCTCAGGATAGAGCCGCAGCCTCTGGCGCGGCGGAAGCAGCGAGCAGTGCAGCGGACTGGCTACGCCCTCCGACGCCTCCTTCAGCTTCATCCTGGCTACAAGATTCGCACACTCCATTGCCTCGCATCCGACCATCAGCAGAGGAGAGACAAGTGTTGCGGGGCGCCGCCAAGACAGCGCTTCGCGGGGTGTACGCTAGAGCTGCGGAAACGTGGCGGGAGAGCAGCAGGGAACGGTCGCCACAAAGATCGAGGTCCCCATCGCCCCGAAGGTCGAGGTCTCCATCGCCTCCGAGACGAGGACCGACTGCTGCTACCCCTGTGGAACATCGGGCACACAGTGTTGAACCCGCGCTTGCGCGGGAGGGCAGGCCATCCAGGACTTCCCTTGCCACACGGCCCATTGTATTGGCTCCACAGAACAGTATATACCCTGTGACACGATTTGACGAGCACGGCACTTGGGTACTCGTTCGGGAGGCTTCACAGCCACGTGAGGCGACATCTCACCGCCGAGCACAGCGGACATCCGGACACCTCCGTCAGGCTGACCCGTATTCGCTTGCGGACGAGACGTGGAGAGATCCCCCAAGAAGATCATCCACAAGCTCGCGATCACGATCTCCAGATCGACGCCCAGGGCCAGCGGAGCACTATCGCCTCGACGCCTACAGCTCAGAAGAGGAACCTCCGCAGGACGCGGAATCCATCAGAACTGGCAGGTCAGCTTACGTGCCTCGGCGCGTATACGAGGCACCGACTCACACTGAGCCTATTGCTTTGCATAGCCGGAGGATTGGAGCAATTCAACCGCCGCCACCAAAGGCCGCACCAAAGGTCATTTTTGGCAGCAAGCCCCCATTGCCCAAGGAACTTCCTCGTGCAGCTTCTTCGGCACCGGCAAAAGCAGATATTCCGAGGAAATCCCCGCCACGAGCAAGGTCTCCTATTCGCCCAAGGAGCTCACCATCGCTCTTGACTGGCACGGAGTTCTTGACGTTGGGCAGCAGGGACCCCACCTCAACCCGGAGTTCAATTTGCAGCCGACTACGCACCTATAAATTTTATAGTGCTATCCTTCGTGGGCAGGGCTGCAAGCGAGTATCGCCGCCGCGAGTTCCAGGTCGCCCTGGAGCACGCGCGGACGACATCTGGACTCACTTTCTCTGCGATAAAAATCGTACACGAAAGGTTGGGTAGGGGAGGCAAAGCAGACGCCCTTCAGGGGCTGGGTGCCCACGCCCTCATCGACGATACAGCTGCGATTGTCCGTGAAGCTCAAAAGACAGGCATCGCAGCGTTCCGCAACTTCCCGCATTTCGGGCCGAGCGGATTTGCCAACGCGCTTGAGAACTTTGGGGAGTACATCGAGTCCCGGAATCGACTTTTCATTCCGGCGGCAAGGGGCCTGCATCCATCGCAGTACCTCGAGGAGCTCCATCGGTCTGCATCCCAGTTGCCCGCCAGCCGGGTACTTCGATAGCCTTTCTTTGCAAGCCGTTAAAACCGTCGCTTTGCGCGGTACAGCATCTTTGCAGCTACAGGCATTCGATTTGCAGACTATTCTCAATACAGCTTGGCAACATCCTTCGATAAAGCACCATAGTGCGGCAGTGCGGATCAATCAATCTACAAGTACAATTACAAATGCAGAATTCATCAGGTGCAAAGCAGCAGGGCGTATTTTCTTGAGTGGCTCACTTGAGCGTTTCGCAACCAGCTGCCAATCCAGGGATATCTCCTCGTAGCACCTTTTGACACGCTGCTCAAAGCGCGTGGAGCTAGCTTCGTGTGAGTGCAAAATTGCATTGCTGTGTCATGGCTTCAACGGGCTTATCACCGCCATCAGAACCCCGTTCAAGGTCAACCCCAAATAGGGATTCTGAACCGGATGACCCTGACCTAGCCATGGTTCCTGCAGCTATGTCCACAGTTCGCACATCCACACCTCAACGAGCAGCCCAAACACGACCATCATCACCCCCGAGTGGTCCGATCGTGTCAGAACCGACATCATCCGAAGCTTCCCCAGCCATTCAGTTTCCTTCACAGGGATCGCAATTACCTGACCCGATGACTAACGTACCCGCTGCGGCATTTATAGCTGGAGCTGCGGTGCAGCAAGCTCATCGAGCATCCGACCTCGCTGCTCAGGCAGCCAATCACGCCTTGCACCAACAGCAGGCCGCCGACCAGGCGAGACAAGAGGCCGGATGGATCAGGGAAAGGGCTGTAAGAGAAGTATCAGATGTTAGGGTTCAGGCCGCTCAGCTAGCTTCGCAAGCACAGCAGGCTGTACAAACAGCACAACAGAGTGAGGCTCAGGCTAGGCAACTAATCGAGCAGACACGACAGGAAGCCATTGGCCATGTCGAGAACGCACGACAGGTTGTTAATGCCACTCAACAGGACGCTCAGCAAGAGGTTCAACGCATTGTTCAAGAGGCTCAACAGGCAATCTTGCAAAGAGAACAAACCATTGCCAGTCAAGAGCATACCATTCGTGGATTGTCCCAGGAAAATTCTGTGATGCATCAACGACTTGGTGATCTCGAACGTGTTGTTGCACACCTCACCCAACAAGCTCGTGCGACCCCTGTTCCGATTCAAGAGTCCCCGCCAAAAGCCGCATCAATAGCCGAAACAGCTACGGAATCAAGCGCGGCTAAAGCCTCAAGTCAGGGCACAGTTCCCCCAGGAACCCATCAGCCGGTTGGAGCACCTCAGGTTTCAGATTCACAAGATGCCTCCGGTGTTGCCGCATCGTCGCAAGGGAATGCTTTTACAAGTACTATCCCCGACCCTCCGTGTGGTTCTGTTCAAAGTTCAGGACTTGGTCACGATGCCCCAGCTGATTCAAGGGACCCTGGTGGGGGTGCAACAAGTCAACATCTCGCAGGCCATTCGGCAGTGCTAGGAGCAGCGTCCTCTGTTGGAGACGCAGCCCCCGGCGCGTCGAGGACTAGCGGGTTGGGTAGAGACGGTACAAGGGATCAAGCCGATGTGAGAGTGCAAGTGACGGCTTTAGCGGAAATGGTTCAGCAGCTTTCCCAATTGGTTGCTAATCAAGTGGCTCCGCCACCTCCGCCTCCGGCCGCACCACCTCCAGCGCCTCCCATGCCCCTTGCAGGGGCGCCGCCTCCGCCAAAAGCTGGCAACGGCACTCGTGTTCCGCCAGTACCAATCACAATGTTGGGAGGGTTGTACTCGTCATCCCCACAAACGCCATCGGCCGCAAGCTCCGACTCATCATCAGACTCCGATGGAGATGATGATACCCCACAATGTCGAGTTTGCGGCGGCAGCCACGAAGACACGGATTGCCCATACCTCACCATGAATGGTGGTGGGGGAGGTGGGGGAGGCTCTGGCCAGTTCCCCAATGCAGACCCGTCTCAAGCTGCCGATCCCAGTGTAGGCATGACCGCCGTAGATCACGCCGCATATGAGGAGTCCGTTGTCCGCGTCAAGGATCTCAAGGATCTCGTGTTACCATCCCCTCCGGAGAACGCTGGACAGGCTAGAGGTTTCGTCAACCAAGTTTTGATGGCCATCGGTCGACTCCAGAAGACCCCCGGAGATGAAGTTTACCAGTGGGCCCAAGCATGCATGTCCTCCACCGAGCAAGAACTCATCGCGGACAAGCGTTTCCCACGGTTAGATCGCGAAGTAG